GTCAATTAAAACATGCATTCAATAAAATGGAAAATATAAATATTTTGGCAAGTCTTAAAGGCAGGTCAACTGTTTTAACCTGGATGTATAGAACTAGGCATAAACTTGATTTGAAAACTATGTATTTAAAGGGTTGTTTTCTTAAATATAAATAATATAAAAAATTTAAAACTATATATCTTTATAATAAGACGAAGCGTAGCTTTTATTGTAGGTTGACGAAATGGTATTTTATCATTTTCAAATTTAGTTTAATAATCTTTACCTCAAATCTATGAAAAATTTTACTATCTTGAGGATAAATGCTAAGATAATTCATCATCAAATAGATATTGTATCTTTTATCTGTCCCTATGGTAGATCTCATACCAATGAAAGCGTAAGCAAGAAACCCCTTAGATCACAAGTATTCGCAATATATCTTTACCTTCATTCCACCAATGGTCGCTGGCCAACCAGTTCCCTAGGGCCAGAAATAACTCAGAAATCACCTGTGCGCCGCTCGCTGATTGGTGCGCTCACTCAGGTGCAACAGGTAGATCGTGCCCCGTGCCCTGCCACCACAAATGAGAGCGAGTGAGTAAGAGCGAGCTGGCCAAGGGCGTGAACTGAAGCTCATTGCTTGTACATATCTGATGGATGACCCTCAGGAGTCAACACACAACACAATAGTCACAATAGTGAACAGGGTCTAATGACCCCTGGTGCCTAGGGGATTTACTCAAAACAAAAAGATACAGATCTTTTGGAGATGGGTATTTGAGCAGAATGCGGGCAGTCCCTATGGGGAATTTGAGAAAGTATCTTGTATTTTGTTATTTAATATAAGAAATCTTAGTGAATTTAGAGCACTTAGCACATTGCATTTTATATTTATGTTACTATTCCGTTGTTTCAGTATTGACATAAAATAAGATAAGAAAACTAGATTAAGTTAAAAGTGAGACATTTTACGATTGATTGACGAAGAACAAGTACATTGTAAAATAAGAATTTTAATTCTTCTTATTTCACAATATACTTTCTCCCTATAAAAAACTCCTCCGTAAAAAAAAACCCATAACTATTAACTTTTTAGCAATATATTCCACCACCAAATACCACGTGTATTGCCCATCGCTGGTATTAACTTATTCCCTTTGAGACCCTCTCGATGGATCCCGATCCCTGTTCCAACGCTAATCCCTTAGCTCAGCATTTAAAAAAAAAAATAAAATAAAATAAGCTCAGGTCTTAAATCTATAACGGGGACCCTGTGGCCATCAATTGATTGATTGACAAGCCATTTACATTAACTTTGACGAGTCGGGCGATGGAAGCAATTAAAGCCGGCCATAAACTGTCAACGTTTTTCTACGAGTGTGTCAAAGGTCAGCGGGCAGCAGTGCAACAACAATAACAATCAGGACGAGATGGGGAGCCGGCAAAAACAACAATGCTGTCAGCTAATTAAAAATGCACATAAAATGTAAAACAAACAGCGAGGAAACTAATGACTGCAAAATCAATACACCAAAAAAACTACAGTGGGGATAAGGTATGGATGGTCGAGCAATATCGGTGGTAAATATAGAAATTGTAGATATTAAATGAATAGGTCTTTAAGTACTTAGAGATATGTATCGGATTTATCGCTTTATATGTTAATTTATCGAATAAGTATTTCTCATTTTATTTTAAAAACCTTTTACCAGTACGTGTAATTTTACTCACTAACTATAAAATTTTTTTTTTTTGTAAACTGTTTAATAATTTATTGAATTTATCGATATTACTTGAGAGCAATATTAAATATTATATATTTTTAATGGGCTAACAGTATGTCCTTAAAATGTAAAGAATATATAACAATTTTTAGATTTTCGATACATTTTCGATATATAACATAACAGTTGATCGATATCTCAATCCCTGCACATCCCTAGAAAGAGAAAACAAACCAAAAAAAGTAAATTCACATAAATAACATGCAAATAATTAATAATTTAAATGCTCAAAGGCAGACAAAAAAACTGGCATAAATAAATTAAGAAGAAATGAATATGAATAATAAATAATATTAAATATACACAATTTAGTTAATAAAAAACGCAATTAACGCGACAAGGAGCCGCCGAGGAGGACAAGGCAAGGCGATTTAAGAGGACATTTTCCGGGGGGTCGTGGGGAAGGTGGGGGGCAGACAGAAGGAGGAGCAGGCAAGGATCCCATGAATGAATGAATGTCATGAAGTCAACTAGGACAAAGCATAAAACACTCATTTATTAATGTACCATTTCGACAGGCGCTCTCTCTCTCTCTCTTTCTCTCTGTCTCGCTTTTCCCTGAGATGAATGGGGTAGAGAGAGACTCTCAGTTCCTCAATCGCTGTAAAATGCTTTGAACTCGTAATAAATTCTTTCACATGGCTCTCCAGCTCTCATTCTTGCGCTCTCTCAGTAATTGTGACATTGAAAATCTGTCTGTCTGTCAACAGAATGGCCAAAGGCTCTGTTAACCATTCAGTTGGTCTGTTAATCGCCTCGGAGGCTGTAAAGAGCACATAAACAAAACAAAGAAAGAGAGAATGAGTGCCGGAGAGCTAGAATTGTGAGGGAAACTGGTTTTCTCTCCCGCCCTGTTAAACGGCTGAAATTGAAACTGGTTTCTGTAAACAAAGTTGAACGGAGTCAACAGCGCTTTGCGGTTGACAAATGGAATGCACACATTTCTGAGGCTTCGCTTGATTCTGGCTTCAGCTCAGGTTTTGAATTACTCGAGCCGTGGGGCAAGTGCAAATGCTAATTAGGAAATCAAAGGGCGTTGCCCAACAGGTGGAGGGGATCAGGGATGGGATTGATTTACAAGAGAATCGGAGCTGCAAATTGTTTAAATTGCACAGAAAATATTAAAGTTGTAAAGTTTTGAAAGAGTCTAAAACGTATATTGTATAATGATAGAAAAGTCTTAAGATATTTCTGCTGTCCATTCCGTTATGATTATAATTTTTCATTTGTATGCTTTATATTTTGTAATCATGAATTAGAAACTGTCATGTCAGATAGATTTTAACTTTAAAAATTCATTGATCATTGCCAGAAATGCTCTTAAATCACCTAACAGTGCCCGTTAACAGCGACTTTGTTTACATGTTAAACCTAGGGCAACAAAAAATTGCAGCGTGCGTGCTGCAAAGTTAACATCTCAATTGCCGCACTGTTAGCGGCCATCAATTTAAATGTTAATGGCTCGTTCGGCTGTCAGAGGAGAGCAGCTGCCTGCTGTTAATGGGTCGTTTCGCTTTCGGCTGCTATGAATTCGACATGCTAACGTTTAATGTTAATGAGCCGTTCGATGCACTAACAGACCGCTAAAAGCCACAGCGTGCAATTTATGGACCTGTTAAAAGCGCGGTGAAAGTGTGTGTGCTTTAACATGATTATTCGCATTCCCCTGGGTGGCATTGCCTTAAATGTTAAAGATGGGCTTGTAAAATGTTAGTTCTATAAATATAAACGAGCTCAAAATAAATGCAAGTTGTGAGTTGTTGGGAACTTTAAGCCAGCAACGGACACGGTAAGCCCATTCAAGGTGCGGACTTCTTAGGAAATTAAAAACCTGGCAAGTTCACTGGCCATCAAATTTAATATATTCCCGTATTTCCTGAATGACTTTTCATATCTGGCATGCTAAATAGCCACCGAAAAAATATAATTAATAAAGCTCAAGGTGCTCCAGGGGGGCGGGCCACGCCACATCGCCCCTTTCCGGCGGCCGAAAACAATTGTCTTTTGTCTAATGTTAATTTGCATTGCGCGCGGCACAGAAATGTTGTTTACATTGCGGTAATTAGCCTACGTGCATGGCATTTGAACCTTTTCAATTGCCCGTCTGGCATTTCAATTTGCCGTAACAGCAAAACAGCCTAACAGAGCGGCTCCATTGATGCACCTGCCGCTGTTGGGAAAGCCCTGTTAAGTGGCCCTTCCCCCTCCCACTCCCAACCGCTCTGTAATTGCCCCAGATGGGGCAAATTCAATTATGTAAACGCTAACAGAAAAACTCTCTCCACAGCGCCGGCGCACTTACAGCTCTTTCGCTAGCGGCATTTTCCGTAGAGAGTTGTAAACAAAAGCCGAGAGAAAAAACTACATGCATACATATGTAACTCTCTTAAATCGCTGTTAATTTACACTCTCTGTGAATTTTACATTTTATGTTGGCCAAAAACGAAATTATACTAAAGAAATGAATAATAATTTATTAAAAATCCTCGTTTCTATGTGTGGTAGTATTCACTGATTGTATAAAAAATATATACCATTAAATTATTTTAAAATGTTGGGAAACTAATTTGGAGATTAATTTAGAAACTAAAAATATATACAAAATGGTAAGTGTGCGATCAAGATATTCAGATTAACCCAGGGTTTCCCATAAACGTCTTCGTCTTGAATTATCCCCATAATAATTGGGAATTGCAAAGTTCGGCCTCCCAAAATTAATTTACTCTTGCTTTTACTTTCCGAAATAGAAAAGGTAGATCAGACAGTTTATTCTTTTTAAAATATTGTGTATATTGACACAAACATTATTTCTGCCATAAAGCTTTTATACATTATAAAATCAAGTTTATCAAATTCATAAAAATCTTAAATTTTTGGCCGTCTTCACATAATTTTAATGTGGTATGTCGTTTTGTTGATTCCTGATTTATTTTTTATATTTTTATATCTTTAATTTGCAGTCCCAATACAACAATACTTGTATTAAGAGCGCTTACATAGAGCTCTCTTTCGCTAGCGGCATTTTTCGCGCTCTCTTCAGCCGAGGTGACTAAGCCAGGTGCCGAATACAGTTACTTCGAGCAACCATAACAGAGAGAGTAAAAGAATCGTCGCCTAACAGAAGTATCTTATGGAACGCACAGAGAGAGTAACAGAAGTATCTGATGGAATCGACAGAGAAAATGGTACTATAAGATACTCGGAGCATAATGCGACGTGCTCAGTTTGAAAAAATCGGGTGCCGACGAAGGGCGAATACAGAACGGTTTACACGGCGAATGCGTGTTGTGTTTCGAGCGAAATTATTTTCCAGCGATACGACGACGCGAAAAGCAAAACTCCAAACAGAAAAAACTCCCAAAATAAAACACGAAAGCGAGAAAATAATAGAGAACAGTGTGCTTGGTGAGATATTATGCAGTACTTAAGCTTATGCTCGAAAATATGTAAATTGAGAGCGTTGTAGGAGGCGGTTTCAAAAGTGCGCGTTCGCGGCATTATTCGTATGCAAATCGGGGATCACACAATTGGCGAATTAAATCAAAATACACCGGCAACTTGGCTGCGGCGACTGCGACTGGGATTTCAGGACATTAAAGCAACGTAACGGCAACGCCTGGCTGAACGTTACGCGACGCGAACCGTTAACCGTTACGCTTCCGCTTTACGGCTTACGTTACGGGCGGCGGCCGAGTGTGTGTTTGTGTGTGTGCGTGTGACAATAGGCGCTCGAGGAGGGGGCGTAACGTCGTGATGCCCGCCCACGTAATGTGTGCCGAAATTTAAATTTCACTCTATGCTAATGCAAATGCAAATACAAATACAACTGCGACTGTGTGCGAGTGCGAGTGCGGATTAGCATAAGCGTAAACAAAAGGATTAGACGTTACGTTGCCGGGATTACGACGCTTTTTATAGCTTCGATATATACGTAGCAGCAGCAGCAGCATCAACACCATCAACAGCAGCGGCAGCTTCAGTCTCAGGTGAGTTTCTGGTGCAAATGATGTATGGCCCGGGGGGAGGAGGTGGCAGGGCGGGGGGCAAACTGCTGTTGCGGTTGCTGTGTGTGGCATGTTAAGTGCAATCCATTATACAGATATGTGCCTTGCACATGCAGGCGGCTTGCTCTCTGCGCTACTTCTCCTTTTCCTCCTGCCTTATCCTGTCCCTTTGGCAAGCTTGTGTCTCCTCAGTGTGTGTGTGTGAGTGTGTTTTTGGTTACCACAAAACCCCCGTGCCTGTGCCTGTGTAAGTGAGAGGAGTCGCTGGAAGCTCCGGCAAACCTCTTAATGCATCCATCAACTTCAATGGAATGCCATTCAATCAGTATTTCCGCCTCCTCCTGCTTCTCTGTTTCTGTTTTTTTTGTATTCTCTTTAGAGTTTTTCCCAGTTTTGCATTCTGCATTTTGGCCACAAAAGAAAATGGGTAGAGAGAGTGAAAGAGAGGCGAATGAAAAGTAGCGGGAAAACTGCTGCAGGTGCAGTATCAAGGGCCCAAAACTTGCAATGAGAATTCCTATAGGAAGAACTTTTATAATTGGGAACTGAGCTGTTTAAAAGTAACGAAATATTGAAGGAAAATGTAACTATAAAATTATAAATATAATATAATATAATATTATATATATTTGAAAGGAACTAAATGTTTGATAAATGTGTAGCTTGTATGGCTTAATTAATTCCATTAAGACAACTACCTGAAATTAATTGTTTTGCTGAATTTGACTAATTTTTAAAACACTCATTTATTTAAATTACTTTTTAAACAACAATTATAACTTATTTCAAGAAACTATCTTCATTTTCTAATTTTAAATAAAGCAAAAAGGCTTTCCTTGTAGAAAATTCATTTGTAATATTACACAAATTTGTTTATAGACATATTTATGATTGAAATAATTTGTTTATATTTAATATCTAGGGTTTTGTTTTTAATTAAATAGTAAATACAAACCCCAACTTTCGTTTTAAAACCTAGTAATATTACACAGTCTAAATAAGTAATAGAACTTAATTTTAGATACTTCAAAAAAATACCTACTTTATTTTAAAACATATTTATTATCTTTTCTTTGCCTATAAAATATTAAAAGTACATATATTTATTGTAAAAGATCCTCAACAGTAACTCAGAGCTTTGCATTTCATATAAGTTTCCCCCGTTCGTTACGAGTGGCTGAAAAATGTAGTCTAGTTTCCGTGATATATGCAGAAGTTTGACTTTATGAAAATGCTCAACTTATGGAATATGCTAAATTATTAAGATAAAGTTTTTGTTGTGCAGCCCGGGAACCAAATTGAACACATTTGTTAGCCCAGTTTGGATGGGAAAAGAGAAGAAAAGCGGGAAAACCGGACGGGACGGATGGGGGTGCCATGCCACAAGTTTTGATTCGGGGAAAGTTTCCGAGACAAGAATATGATAGCTTAATTGGAATTGCCGAATGCAGGCGAGGAGGAGAATGAAAAACAGAGAACAGAGAATGGAAATCGCAGAGAAAGAGAGCCAGAAACGGAGAGAGGGTAATTAAAAGTTTCGTTGGGGAAACACACACACAAAGTGTCGAAGGTCCCCAATGGCAGTACAACAATATGCAGTGTACAATATTCTTTCCCTTTCATCGAAGGGTTTTCCGGCTTAGCCAATAGTTTTTCCCCCCGCCACCCCTGCTCATGCACGGCTCACCCCTATATGATCTCATTCCGATCGGGGATATTGAAATGCCACACAATTGATTGATTCGATGCCTAATGAACGGCAATAAAAATTCATTTGGGCTACTTACGACCACCGCCACTTCAGACTGCAGTTAAATGCACCCATTTCCCATCTGCCGCCTCCTAGGCCTTTTCAATTGGACTTTTTTAATTACAAACCAAACATTAAGAATTTTATTTTCGCTATATTGAAATATATTGTACGACGGGTATTCCCCGGCGCTTGTCATAAATATTTTAGCAGGTTGCCGGGCGCACCGAACGAGAGCAACACAAATATTTTAACCATAAAAATTGGCAGCCCAGCGGGAGCCTGGCACAAAAAAATCCTTTTTCATTGCGCTCTCAAAAAATATATATATAGAGCATAGAGCTGGACGAAAGCGAGGTGTATAAAAAGATACAACAGTAGCGGCAGTAAAGAAAAACGCATTTTCCAAAATATTTACACAGGAAAAATGAACAAGAGAAAACTAGAAAAAGAGAGCAGCAGCAGCAGCAGCAGCAGCGAAGGCACAACAAATAAAACCCAAATAAAATATGAAACAAGGCGGCGGATGGGAGGAGGTGGAGCTATTTTATTTTTCGGCTACAATTTTTGTCGCCCAACGTGGTCCTGGCCGCGTTCGTATCTGTGTGAGAGCTGCAGTAAATAAATATACGCGTATCTCTGATGGGGATTTATGGCAATGAGAGCCCAGGATGGCCTGGGTCCGTGGACCCGGCTCCTCTGCTCCTCTTGCGCTGGCCTAGGACTTAAATAAATGATAGATTGAAATTTATATAGCCTATGGGCCTCGCACCCGCACTCGAATTGCACATTTTAGACACTTTTCGATGGTTTTTGATTCGCTCTCGGGCCGGCACTAAAATCGCTGCCATATATATATAAATTGACTAGGTAACAGAATCTATGATGTATCTATTTTCGCGCCCGAAATTTCCACTTGGGTTAGCATTCTGGCATTGTTTCCGTTTTGGGGGAAAGTGTTGAAATTTGCAGCATTATATTCCGAGGGCTTTTCGGATATTCAAGTGCTGCCAATCAAGGGGCAGGGTTATTATTATGATTCTTATGGAAATATTTCAATTTCTGTGTGCCCATTTTTGAAATGTTTGTAAACTATTTGCATTGATTGGGAAATCACTTTCAAATCCCATTTAAATGTTTGGAGCTCACCTGGGACGTCGTCAGGCGGTCGGTTGATGAGAGAATGCTTTGTTTGCATTGCATTTTCATTGATACATATTTACACAGTTTGCACAATGTTTCATAATTAATTTTTGTGCTTTGCTTTTCTATGCCCAAGCCGTAGGCATTTCCCATTCTCAGTCCCTCTTCCCGACTGCCTGCGACCGCAAATTCAAAATGCAATAACAAAAGTTTAACATAGCAAAGCCCGGCAATATGTTTGTTTTTCCAATAATACAACTTTGCCGAGAGGGAAACGCTTGGAAAAATCCAATGCAATTTATATGAGCCAATTGGCCAAAGCTGAAAAACTGAAACACAAATGCAACGAACTGCAACTTCAATGGGATTTTTCGGTTGTGGGAATGCAATTTAAACCAGCGTGTGTGTGTGTGTTCAGGTAAAATTAATATTAATTTTAATGAAAATGAAAATGAAAAGCAGATTGGAGCACAAAGAGGATTGTTAATATGTAATTCTCTCAGGGGAGAGAGTGGGAGAGAAAGCTAACTAGAATTTAAATTTGAATTTTGAAAGCTCAAAACTTAATTTGGGGAAAACTGAGAGCTACAACAATGAAAATACAGATGGGAATAGAAGACAGAATACTCAAAAAGTATGCAACAGTTGAGGGTCGTTGTCCTTGTGCGATTTATTACTCTTAAAGTGCAATTTAGTGCTCGAAAGGGTCTGCTAAACGCCTCAGATTAAAAGTATATATTCCCGCAAAGGCACGTTCTCCAATTTCCCTGCAATTTTCCAGAGGTAACCACAAAGCCGCACTCCAAACTCCACACCCTGCATTCCTTGGCATTTTTCGAAATAAATTCGCCTTAAATTGCTTCTCGGCTTATTCGCCACAGAAAGCTGAACACATGTGCTTGCCGACTGTAAAATTAATTTCATATGGCAAATGGCTAAGAAAAATGTTTTGCCACACACAATCTATGTGCGTTTCACCCCGAAACTAAGCCGAGCAAAATGCCAAAAATGCTAAATAAGATGGCTCACATATCTAAAGCCCCCAAAAGAAGCTTCAATAAATAAATACGGACCGGGGAACTCACCCCATTCCGATCCAAGCCCAGTTGGAGTCTCGTTTAATTTTGGGAAAGCGCACTCAAATGTTAATTTCATTTCCCGTTTGCCTTTTGTCTGCAACTCTCTGGGCCTCCATCTCTCTCCATCGCTGTCTCACTCTTATATGTATGTATAAAAAAAAGATGATATTCGTATTTAATTTCAATTTCAAAGGATTTTCCATGTATTTATTCAAGGACTTTATCTTAAGCATAAATTACGGGCCAACGAACGAGGCGAGCAAGCGAGCGAACGGGGTGCGGGTATGGGAACTCCACTTGGCTTTCCGTCTGCCTCTGGCTTTCACCTACTTTCTAGCCGGGCTGGCAAGGTAGCCACCCCCCACTCACACACACACACACACACACGCAGGATTCCCCTTTGGATCCTTGGCCAAACAGTGTCTGGCTGTGCTCCGACTGCTGCTCCGCCTGTGTTTGCCAAACTGTGGCTTCCAGGTTATCTGTCTCGCTCCTCCGCCTCCTTGGCAGCCTCCGCCTCCTCCTCCGCCTTCGCTCATCTGTCGTCGTTGTCGTTGTCGTCCTCGTCGTCGTGTGCATTTGGTTTTCATTTACATATGAAGCTCCTTAATAATCCTTTTGTGCACAGGACACACACAGGAGCAGGACTCAGGCGGAGCAGCGAGTGCCGAGAACCACGTGCACACAATTCGTGTTGCGTGCGCATAAGGAAATGTTTAAATATATGCAAATCTAGTTAAGTGTAATCATTTAGCACAAGAAAAAGTGGCCCGCCTGCTACCAGGACACGCTAGGACCTGGAACCCAGAACCGAGAACCGAGAGCCTTAGCCAACAGCATCATCTCCCTTTTTTTTGTAAAAAGTTGGCTTGTGGAAATTAGAATTTGAATGCATTTAACGCACAAAAAGGAAGTTATCAACAATGGGCAGGCGATAATAAAGTTATAAATGGTTCATTTCTTGGTCTTTGTCTCCGCAGAAATGTCACTTAAAGGAATTTTCGTATTAG